TTTTTGGTACCACTTATTGGAGTTTTTATGTTTCTTGTCGTTCATCATGTCTGGACAATGACGCTACCTGTAGATGTCACGTATGACATGATTTTCAAAAAAATACATACTAAAGGACATAAGACAAAGGTTCTGGAAAGAGAAATTGGAGACAAAAATGAGTTCGAGAAAGATTATCAAGAATTAGAAGAAGTCCCAAATTGGAGAAAGTTCATTCACCCATACATTAGTCCACTCCATATTGTTCTAATATTTGGTTATTCTTTATTGTTTGCAGGATTTTTCATATGCTGTACTGTCGATGGTACTCTTGGAAATTGGTTTTGGCTGTACCTTGCAACTGGTGTCATGGCTGTGCTAGTTAATATTAATGCTACTGGTGTTACTATTGTGTGGGTGGTCATATTGACTGGAGTCATTGCTACAATTGCTGCAATTGTTGCTGCTGTAATTGGAACGATTGCAATAATTATTGCCTTTTGTCTTGCTATTTTAGCTGTTTTTTTGATTTGTTCTGCCATATGCAGCAATAATAAACAATAATTTAAACTTTCTATTGATTGCTATTTTTACATATTTCTAAAAGTGATTATAAAATAATACAACTTTTATGCATTTTCTAGCTCAGAGCCAATGCTGACTGCCATAATGGTGTACGATAACAAATTGTTTAACCACATGCATCTATGATTATTCACAATGTCTAACAGTCTGACAGTGCACATAGTAAGCATAGTGATATTAGTAGGTACAGCCATTATTAGAACGGACACTAATGTGAGATACTACAACCTTAATGTTATCTATTGAGAAAGTTATCTGTCATTCACTTGTTGTTTCTCCTATTTTGCCATTGGGTTTATTGGTGGTTTATTTGTTGTAATAGTGTGGTGCAGATTTTCTGGGTTGTGACAGGCTAGGCTGCTCTAACTTAAGCATTAAAGCACATTGGTAATGTACATGTATTACCCCTTTATTTTAATAATCATTACCTACCTTTCTTTTCCTCTCTCTCCCAATCCTCTCCCTCACTCCATCCCTTCCTCCCTCTCACTCTTTTCTCTCTCTCCTTCTCTCTCTCCTCTTTCTCCCCCCTACTTCTCTTCCCTCCTCCAGTGAATGTGTTAAATATGTCAAGTCATTCAACATACCCACACTAGTGCTGGGAGGTGGTGGGTACACTATTCGTAATGTTGCTAGATGTTGGACGTATGAGACATCATTATTACTGGACACTGATATCAGCAATGAGCTACCATATACAGGTATAGTATAGGAAGAATTGTATAACTAATATGAGTAATATTTGAATGGGCTTTCTTAGTATAATTTGATTGGGTAATCTTTTAAATTTTTTCCTTTTTTAGAATATTTTGAGTATTTTGGTCCTGATTTTACACTCCATCCTTATGTGATTACTAAAATGGAGAACCAGAACACAAGACAAGTTAGTTTGCTATTTGCACAAACTTCTTGCAAACAAATGAAACCGTACATTGTATTGTATTGGTTATTGGTGTGGATTACTTCAGTAGCTGTTTTTCTATATAAGGAATTTAAATCCACTTAAAGCTATTATTAGTAATATTCCCCAAAAGCTATATTTAGTATCACTCTTGCAATAACTGTTATTGTGTTGGTATGTATGCGGATGCTCATACAGCATTACTTCACTTGTGAAGTTTACACACTATCTTTCCTTAAATTCACTTGACATGTAATCAAGAATTGTACGTGTACTCTCAAGAATAACTGCATTCTTCTCACCTTTCTCTCTCTCTCTCTCTTAGTATTTGGATCAGATCAAGCAACACGTATTAGAGAACTTAAGAATATTACCACATTCCCCTAGTGTACAGATGCACCAAGTAATGACATAATGATTACAATGTACTTTATTTGTCAGTTTGTGTGTGTGTGTGTTAATGTGTTACTTTGTTACTCTCATACTGTGTACTGTATTAGGTTCCTCCTGATATGCTAAGTATGGAGGTACCTGAAGAACCTTCGCTTGATGTTCAAGAAACTCAACATGAAACTGACTCAAGGTACTTGTATTATTATTATTATTATTATTATTAGTGGTATTACATGTACTTTTATGATTAGAGTTGAGCATTCCACTGAATATTATGACAGTGATAAAGATCAAGATTTAACATACCATCATAACATTGACAATGTTTAACTATCATTATTAATTCACACAAAAAAATATTACACATATTGCATAAGAAATAAGAATAAAAATGACATTAAAATACTGAAATTATGCAGTGAGTGAGTCATGGAATATATTTGATGTTGATATTTTGTGTTTTGATTGTATGAGCCTGCCCGGCGAGGTGTGAGCCAAGTCTCATGATCACAACTATTCCAGTTACAGGAATTAATAGTTTATACAATAAGCTTTGTGACAATTCGCAAGAATTCTCTCATATGGTCATGCTATTATATAAAGGCTGAGGCTCCACTGAGCAATAAATAACCTTAGCTGCAGGTTAAATCTTATCAGCTTGTCCGGTTGTTGCAGTTTTCTGGGAATAATCTATTGCAATCTTGTGGTGTTACTACTTTCGTGAGTTATTTTTAAAATTGTTCAGGTAGCAATGGGTCGCTCTTACGCATACTACAATGCTTTCTTAGCATTCAATCTAACGATTCCTATAATACTTGTGCTTTTCACAACCATTTATTTTGTTAATTTTATGATAATCTATCACTGTTGCAAAAAAAAGAGCCAGGACAACGAAGAGAGACAAGACAATGAAGAGAGACAAGACAACGAAGAGAGACAAGGCAACGAAGAGAGACAAGGCAACGAAGAGAGACAAGACAACGAAGAAAGCCAAGACAACAAAAAGAGCCAAAAATACAAAACATTGTGCTTTAATGGATTTAAAGCATTCACTGTTGCTGCAGCTAGTACACTTTTTGGTGCGAATTTTATCAGGGAAAAAGGTTATAGGAAGCCACCTTGTCTGAAGATTCATAGAAAGTTATATGAAGCAAATTTTCCAGTTTTATTTTCACTGTTGCACTATGTTTTAGCTATGGTATTTATAGTAGCATCTGTATCTGTTGGATTCTCTACTCAGGTGTTATATGGTCTCAATAACTGCAATAATGATGTTGACTGCTTCTATCTAAATATTACTGATGGTGTATCAAATGTAGTACCTATAACCAATTGCTCATTACAATTTGAGCTATTAGAGAGTGATGAAAGAAATTTTGGTGTCCAATGCTTTAAGAGCTTTCAACCAGCTGTAGCCACAGCATTATTTGGTGGATTTATTGCATTTATAGCCCCTCTAATGTTTAGGATTGTCAATGTAGTGCATGTATCTATTTTTGAGAAATGCCTCAAATATAAAACCCATAAATTATGGCATGATATTTTGATAAACATGATAATTGGGGGTTTGGTATATTTTTTTGGTATGCTATACATTCTTCTGCTCACTTACAAGTACTCTGGAGAGACAAAAGGTAACATAAACATTCTTTTTAAGGATACCACTTTTGGACAGTTAACTACAATATTATTCACAACTATTTCGTTTCTTCTTTACCCATGGTATTGGTTTGGAAAATATCGAG